CCGGACCTATCTGTTGAGTGCTATGCAACACTGTTGTGTGTCATTTCTTTGCCTCTTTTCATCCGGACTTCTTCTAATCGATGTCTTGGACTTCTAGCATGTCTTCTATGATCTTTAACAGTGCTCAGGTGTCTTGCTTGAGGTATCGATCACTTGATCTTCACATTGTCTTGTCCAAGTCTAACCATGGATCTAGTTGAACTAAACCTTGTATATTACTAAACGTCATTAGTCCAAATAGTTATGTTGTCATGCAAAAACCAAAATCAAATATAGCCCTAGTAGAGGTGTCATTTTCCTTACACTACCCAAAAGAAACACACATGGTGGGAGAGCATGGGAGAGAGGAACACACATGATACATTATGGGGTCTTCTCCTCAACCGGCGGTCAAAACCAGCTGTGAGAGACAATTTTACCGCTGTTTTTACTTCAAACTGGCGGTGACAATGTTTTCTGTTACACCACTATTAGCGTTTTTTGTCATCAAACAATGATTATGGATGATGGAGTGTGTTGTAGATCTGGATGGTAGCACATGAGAAAATTTTTTTACACTGGTTTAGGCCCTCGTGATGACGTCGAGCATATGTGGTTGTGTTGCTTCTGTGCCATGTGTGTCAAGTGTATTTGAGAGAATATGAGACAATATTGACCAAAGACTTACTACCCTGCCTTATAGCCCGAGAGTGTGGGGCAACAAATAAGTCCTAACCTAATTTGTTTATAGATATGTTTCCTAGTTAGTTACAATAGAATCCTAATAGACCGGTGTAGATGTATATCTATGTCTTGCACACAAAGTTGGTGAAGGTCCCCTGTTTAGATGTTAGACTCTAAGTAGCTGTCCTAGGCATCCTATGTCTAAGGAGCGGCTTTTGTCCTCCATGATGATACCTGTGGGTCATGTAATCATCAATAGCCCTTGAGTTCTTCATGATCAAGTTGTAGCAATTCGAATGATGTCTCAACCCTGACCAAGTCTTCTGAATTCACCCGCCCGACTATCCTTTTCCATTGCTTATATGGAGACCATGAATAACTCATGAAGTATTTGAAAAAAATAAGCAAAGTGATATTTATCCAAAGGGCATAAATACCAAGGCAAGTGAGCTGAAAATGAGTTAGTCTGAGTGGTATCCAATTGTTCCATAGATGGTGATGAGCTAATGACCCGAATACCAACTATGTGGATCTTGACTTCTAAGTTGTTCGGGGATGGACTAGTGGCCCACTAGAGGCGTGATACAAATTCCCTTCTTTCTAGGTGTATCCAAGTGGTAATGGACAAAGCTTGGGAGGTCAACCATAGAAACCTGAAGTCAAAAGGATGGCAAAACCAAAGCATCGCTGTAATGACCCAAGTTACCATACACCATAAACTCTCATTTTGGTCGTCCAAGCTCATGTTAAATGGAATTCCCTAACGATCTCAAGTAGGTCACCTTAAGCTTTAAATTGGATCCAAGGGCTATGAGATCAGGTTTCTAAGCTTGGTTAAGCAAATCCTGAGACTACCAGACAATCTGTCACTTGTATCGAATCATCCGATAAAGATGCAGAGACAACAGATGGAGTGGGAAGTGAGTTATTCATTATGGGGCATGGCCCACAAGTCAGCACGAGTGGGAGATATTTCCCAACCCTAGATCCTCAGCTTCACTCATCCTCTCCTCATTTCCCTCACACACACTCTCTAGAAGGAAGAACAAGGAGAGGGAAAGGATGAACTAGAGTGAGAAAGAAGAAGAAGAAGAAGAAGATGGAGAAGAGAATCAAGATGCTAGAAGGCAACAAGATCAGCCCTAGGCCAAGCACTTGAGCTTTAACAACCTCTCATCTCATGGTTAGCTCAAGAGCTCTCTCCTCTCTTTATCTTGAGATCAATCCTCCAACCCTAATCTAAGTGTTCTCTCTTGCATGGATGAAACATGAGGATGACTTGATGGAAAAGTACCCCAGGAGTAAGGATCAAGTATGCTATCCCTCAATGTCTCTTTATCTCTAGGATTTCTCTTGGTCAAGGAATCACTAGTTACACTAGCTAACCTAAGCCAAACCTAGCTACCTTGAGCCTAGCTAAGGCACCTAAGTTACCATAGAAATACCCAGCACATGCATGGATGCCTTTACTCGAGGTCTAGATATGAATTCCCAAGCTCTCACCCAAGAATCCAAGAGCATAGGTTCTGTCGCCCGATTGACAAAGTGTCCATCGGTAGGACGGAGTGTCACCAACAGTCTAAGTCTCTCGCCGAGTGAGAATATCGAAGCGTCCGTCACCGCGGTGGAGTGTTCGATGAATTATACCAAACCAATAACCTGAGAACCCGAGAGCACCCAGTTTCCATCGGAGTCTCCATAATTCCCACAGAGCATCCTCCAATCAGTACGGAGCCAAGCCAGAGATAACCCACCTCAGCACCTAACACAGCGGAGCGTCTGTTAGTAGGACGGAGTGTCCGACTATCACAGAGAAGGTGATGTTAGTTAGCAAATTCACTCAAAGGGTCACCACCATTAGTTCACACCCGTAGCTTGTAAGGCAGCAATAGGGTCATAGTAGATGCCTCTCTCTAAGTCATGAGTAGAACTCCTAGTTTCCTTATCTATCGTGTAATCGTCCCCAATCCTTGGAATCTCTCCTTTCAGGCTCGGATGTCTCGTTTCGTGAGGATCATGTGCGAGTCGTCAGGATCGACAACACTATCAGGTAGGCACCCGCTATTATAAACCCTACTTTGGATACATATCAAGTTGCATTATGAGTTATGCATTACATGTAGTCTTGGATGATGATCACCTCTATACTACACCTAGAGTAGTCTAATAATATGTAGAAGCCTCTCATCTAAATAATGGGAATGGGAACGCTTAATGCCTATTGCTTAGTTGCTTGGGCAACGATAGAAGTCGAGCATAAGAAGGGAACTCATACTGCGCGTGTAGGATGCTACACCTGGATAATTAACTACTAAAACCAATGAGGGTACAACTTGACTTACCTAACTAATATGGCTAAGGACTAATACCCCTAATATGATAATCTTGATGATAACTTGGATATCTTGCTCATACGAGGGGTAGGTCGTCGTGAGTGTGGGATCTCAGACGACGTAGCTCGTGGAGCAGTAAGGACCGTGTATTAGGATACGTAAGTCCGAGTAACCACCCTATAGATCACATGTCGTGGATGGGGTCGACAAGCCAAGTAACTAGCTGTGGCATGTTTATTCATGAAACTAGCAAGGGGGTGGCGTCGGTCAGGAGTGTCTGGGACATTGACCGGGAACCCAGTCGAACCTTTCATGTGACACTCGGGCCGGATTAGGGAAATGTTGGAAGGCGTGAGGCAACCCTTACCTGGGCATGGGTATGGTGGTTAGTCCTGACTTCCATGTGGGTACAGTTGTACACCTCTGTAGAGTCTTGAAAGCTTGGAGTCCTTCGGGACGGAACTATTTGGTTGTTCTTTCTTTCTATATCCATGGTAGTATGAATGATGGATTGCGAGCACTTCTGCTATAATGATAAATACATTTACTTCTAATGTTGAGCATAGCATGTCATATTCTTAATGAACATCATTGCTTTCCGCACTCATACAAACGCCTGATAATCACCCTATGCATCCACCAAATACTATGTGTTGGAATTAAGCCCTGCGAGTACGCAATGTACTCACGGTGCAGCCGTTAAGTTGTTTTGCATGTACGTCGTAGACTGTGTTGAGCAATAACTTGACCGCCGCTGCATAGTAGCACTTGGAATGGGCGTGACTCCAAGCGTAACACAAGGAGTATGTGTGCACACACATACAGAGAGAGTATGTCCGTATATATATGTACACGATAGTTGTAGTATTTGTGCATACATGCTCTTATGATATTAGGGAGTAATGTCCATCCACCAATGTAGTATACGTGGTCACATCAGTTTGTAGTATGTACACCGTTAGGAGCTTAAGTACAGTATGGGTGTATTTTGAGTATGAGTACATACATGATTAGGAGTATACATGCATACATCAATTCGAAAGTACAGTATGGGTGTATTTTGAGTATGATGAGTACATACATGATCACTTTTAAGTTTGTAATGCTGAAGCATCAGAGTATGGGTATATACGTATCTCTTGAAAGTACATTATATAATTGCACTGATTCTGAGTATGAATCAATACGTCTTCTCACAAAAAGTATGTGAAAAGATGATTAGGATATATTTGTAGATTCTAACGAGTAGGAACAATTATATATCCTGGTATACAGACTCCAGCTTCCGCTCAGATGAATATAAATTCAGCCAAGAGAAATGTAATGCTAGATCCATAATCGCTGCATGCGTGGTACTACATATTAGAAATCAGATGAGACAGACGAGTTGGATCTAGAAAGAGACATCTGCATGAAAATAAAAACAAAAAATAGCATGACCAATCAGATGCAGTCATGCACGTATACTCTCTTGATCCAATTGCATATACGAACGGAGATCAGATTCGTCACCGGTCACCTGTTCACTCATCGATGACACACAGAGGAATGCATGGATCGATGGGATTCGTGAAGAGTCTCCTCCCGATAAGGCAATTTGATTAAGGGCCCGTTCGTTTCGAGCGGAACGGAGTGCCGGAACCGATCCCAGCCGGAAGGCAGCTGTATTTTATACCGGTCAGCTATCACCGGGAAGCGTTCCGACCGGAAATCAACGTAAACGAACGGGCCCTAAAGAAGACGAACAGACATAACACCAATCGGCTCCTCATCTGCACGATGCGAGGAGATTAATTAGGATTAGGGAAAAAATCAATCACAGAAGGTCGGAGATCTCTAAACTGCACATGTACCTGGATTGCATGCACCAACGAACGGAGCACCGCATCAGGATCTTCAGAAGGCGTGGAGGAGGGGGCGCCGCCGCGGTGGGACGCGGGGGAGGGTCGTCGGATCTGCAGGGTGCCGCTGCTGTGGGGGAACGAGCCAGGGGCCGCTGTTGCCATGCCCCTCAACTACGCGAGGCCAGCAACCGCGGGAGAATGGGCTGGGGGTGCCGCCGCCGCCGCTTGTGGAGGTTCCTGGGCCGCGACGCTTGTGGGCTGGGGATGCGGCGAAGGGGCATGGTCGTGTGGACGGATGGGGGAGGGAGGGAAGCGGTTGGAGTGGCGTCGCATATCGGGAGGGGGCGGCGGCGCCGATGGGGAGGGATGGCCGAGCGTAGCGGTTGGCATCGTGGCCTTACGGATGCGGAGGCGCGGGTATGGTATGCGGGTGGGTAAAGATTTCATCGGTGAAAAAAAAACGTGTAGGAGGAGCGTGTTACGAGAGACAAACATGCTGTCAATGTAAATAGTTTTTGAATAGTTTTAGGCCAGGACCACTTGTCAGATCAGGTGAAAGATTTAGATGTGTTGGATCTGAGTTTAATGTAGATCTATGGGACAAGAATTAAAGTGGGTATGAAATATTTGGGCGACAGAATATTTTTATTTCCTTCGCTCCTTTATCGTATAGATAGATAAGATTTTTATGCATTCTGTCATCGGAAGTTTACTGCATCTGTGTGCAGGAAGAACAAGAAACAAAATGAGGATTATTCTAGCAATTAATTTGCCAATAGTTGCAGCAATCTAGTAATCAATATGTTTTTTCTCTACCTTTGTTGGAGGAGACCAACAATGCACCATCTTGTAAGTTCTAACAGTTTGGACTCGTGCAAATTGTAATAAGTACCCTAGGCTACTTTAGTTATGAACTGCAACAAATACTCTTCAGTTAATCAATAATTTTGGTTTCTTAAAAATATCAATTTCCTAAACTAAGTAGAGGTTAATAATGCAGAAATTTATTGATGCTTTATAAGTTATATCACTGTATGATGTTCTTTCTTCTGATGGATATAGCTTATCACGAGGACGCCGAAAGCCTCGATTCACTTCTTTTCCATATATCAACACTATGGGCTGCGACCTGTAACTTTGCTGAGAGCAACAGGCTTGGTGAAGGAGGTTTTGGTGCAGTTTATAAGGTGGCATTTATTCCATTTCACTTCATAAAGAACTTTTAGTTTCGACAACTGAAGGTATACACTTGTGCAGGGTGTCCTTCTTGATGGTCAAGAAATAGCAGTGAAGAGGCTATCACAGACGTCAGACAAAGGAATACAACAGTTGAAAAATGAGTTAGTTTTGGTTGCCAAGCTTCAGCACAAGAATCTTGTTCGCCTTGTTGGTGTTTGCTTGCAAGAACATGAGAAACTTCTTGTGTATGAATACATGCCCAATAAAAGCATCGACACTATTCTTTTTGGTAAGACTTTTCTAATATTCTGTTTGCAGTAACATAAGTACAAAAACGTACATTACTGACATAAGGTTTCTTGTGCCAGATCCTGAGAAAAGGAAGTAGCTAGATTGGGGAAAGAGATTCAAGCTAATAAATGGAATTGCAAGAGGATTACAATATCTTCATGAAGATTCCCAGTTGAAGATTATTCACCGAGATCTAAAAGCAAGCAATGTCCTATTGGACTCCGATTATACTCCTAAGATTTCAGATTTTGGTTTGGCTAGGCTATTTGGACGGGATCAATCACAGGAGGTCACAAATCGTGTTGCAGGAACATGAGTGAGTATAGTCCAAAACACACTGAAGGCATATAATATATAGCACATTAACCATACCGATTTTTTCTTATTGTTGCAGTGGTTATATGCACCAGAATGTGCCATGCGTGGGCATTATTCTATGAAGTCCGATGTCTTTAGCTTTGGCATCTTGATGTTAGAAATCATAAGCGGAAGAAGCAGCACGTCCTTTGACATTGAGCACCATGTTGACCCCTTAAGCCTAGTAAGTCTTTATATTCTTGTCAAGCTCTTTTACACAATTAATATGCTGCAAAGATGCTAATTAAGTCGGTATGCATTGGATGCAGGTCTGGCAGCACTGGACTACGGACACCGTTGAGGAGATATTAGATTCAGCTCTGAGAGGTGATGCTCCTGGACGCCAGATACTGAAGTGTGTCCACATTGGGCTGCTGTGTGTTCAGAGTAACCCAGATGATAGTCCGATGATGTCAACGGTAAATGTCATGCTTAGCAGCAGCAATGTGTCTCTTAGTGCTCCATTGAAGCCAGTATTTTTCATCCCCCAAAGCGGAGTCTACTCAGCCATAGATTCAGAAACACATCCCACTGCTTCCCAGTCCATTGGTAGATCAGGGGCGTTGTCAGGAAACGAAGTGTAAGTTACCGAACTGGAGCCGAGATGAGTCATGAAGCAACTGGCAAGTTGACAGGGAAATTGGAATTCTGTTGTACTAGGAATGAATATGCTTAACGCTTCCTGAGAGGTTGAAACCCCCGTGATGTTTCCTCGGCCCCCCCTACTATATTTCTTCTGTACAACAACTTTCACTAGTCAAACCTAGCTCATTAGTAACGTAGTCAAACCAATTTCTACTCCCAAAGGTGTACTGTGTACACTATGAGCCATAATAATTGGGCTATGCTAGCGTCTGGATGTCCGGACGAACCCACATGTCTGGATGCTCGCGCATGCTGCTACGCCTGATGTGTCCCACGCCTCCTCTTTATTTTTTTGGAAACATGCACCTGCTGCTGCTGTGATTTTTTTTAATTTTAACACTTTTAAAACCTAAATTTAAATCTAACACTATCGGTTTTTTTAAAACTAACACTTTTGGCCACGCTTACTGCCCTGGCGCGGCCAAATGTCTGTGCCGCACCATACATGGTGGCGCGGCAGAAGGCTGACGTGGCGACGACCGGATTCGCTGACTGCTGACGTGGCGGGGCCTGCTGCGCCACCGATTTTGGCGCGACAGAGCCGAATATAACCCTCGTGGCTATCCCCGCTGCCCGAGCAAAAACTCGCGCACCTGGACGCGCCAGGCCCGCTGCTGCCGCCCAAAGACGTCGGCCGCTGGTGCGGCCATCACGCCGGCGCCGGCCTGCGGCGACCTCCCGCCACGACGGCGGCTCGCACGAGGTTGCGCACTGTGCCTCCCGGCCCGATCTAGCGCGCCACCGCCGCGAGGTACTCCCCTAATGTAGTTAGTATAGTTAATAAAGTTAGTAAAATTAGTAAAGTATAGTTACTAAAGTTAGTTACTTTAGTTAGTAAAGTTAGTTTAGTAAGTTAGTATAGATAGTAAAGTTAGGTAGTTTAGTTAGTACAGTTATCGAGTCTAGTTATACATTGGATTTAGTCTAATTAGTTGTTGTAGTTAGCCTTGTATAGATGTTAATATTAGATTATTTAGTATAGTTATAGTTAGAATATATATTAATATTACTATGGACAATACGTATGACGATTTCGACAACTTGATGAAGTTTTTTGAAATGCTTTTGTAGATGGATTGTTATGTTAGAGTTTTATACGGAGGAAGTGTTAGGATAGAAGATGATATGTTTGAGGATATGGAAGAAAAATTGGAATGATTTAATGAACCTCCTAGCTTCAACGACCTTTGTGTCTGTTTGAATGCAAAGTTTGGCGGTGATTTCACACTGAAGGGGAGGTTTGATACTAGGAAGACTAGGGTACACTATGTCCTCATGCCCTTGCGTGACCCTGCTTACTGGTCCCGCTACACTAGGGTTTTCTAAGGTTCTAATGTGCCCATGGCTGAGGTAGTGGTGGAGAATGGGTACAGGATGCAGGGTGTTCAGGAAGGCCCGTCCATTGATGGTTTTGGAGGCAATGAATAAGAAATAGGGGCCGAAGGGAAAGCAGCTTAGGATAACATGGATTTGGACGGTCAGTTGACGCAGGAGCAGTTTCATTCAACTACAGTAGGCTGTATAAACAATGACTTCGATGTGAATGAGTTCGAACGGGAAGAGGAGGAGCAGGAGGAGGAGGACAGGATCAGTGATGTAGTTAGCAGTGATTTAGACGATTCTGATGATGACCAAGGAGGTACAGATGCTATGTCAACACCGGCTGATGCCATGCCAGTACCGGTTCATACTATGCCATTACTAGTACCAACTGAGATTTTGCATGGTGTCCAGGCTCAGGGTAGACTAGTCACAGATTTGGCTACAAATGATACCCCCTATGATTCATGGGTCAGAATTAGCGAAGTGTAGCAGTATGTTCCACCACCACCTTACACAACGATTGAGCTTGAGCAACTAAGGTCCAAGAACGTACCTTTTAGGGGCGTTCCGAACTATAGGGATGTCAGTATGACGGATATGACAGTTTGTGACACCGGTCTCTAGATGTGTAGGAATTCATTGTATGATCATGAGAAAGAAACCCTTAGGAAGGGGATGATATTCAACACAATGTCAGAGATGAAACTCTTCCTTTAGGACTATGTTGTGTACCACCATAGGTCGTACACCGTCACTCATTCGGACCAGGAGTTGAGGTACCACGTGATATGCAAAAACGGTTGCATGTGGAGGTTAAATGCATGAAAGAGACAGAGTGATGGCAAGTGGAGGATAACTAAAGTTGTCGAACCCTACACTTGGCTAGACAATAGGGGGAAGGAAAATCATCAGCAGCTCACTGTACGTTACCTTGCCCATCGTATATTGGGGCTCGTTGATGACAATAACGATATTTTGGTGTCTTCTTTACAACAGTCCATATCTGGATTCGTTAAGTACGATGTGACGTACGAAAAGGCTTGGCGTGCTAAGCAAATTGCTCTAGCAATTCGATGGGGTAGTTGGGAGGAAGCGTACAACAGGGTGCCCCACATCTTATGTGCAATGCATTACTACAACCCTAGCTTGAAATGGTTTGTGGACACCGGAGGTATGTGTTTTCGGGACCTATTGAGGCATGTCCTCTATCGTGTGTTCTGGTTGTTCGCGCAAATGGAACATGCATTCCAGTTTTGTTGGGCAATCGTACTTGTTGATGGCACTTTCCTGACAGGAAAGTACAGGGGCACCTTGATGATGCTGCTGCTGTTGATCCTGAGGACCAGATAGTATCCATGGCTTTTGCTTTGGCAGAGGGAGAGAACAATGAATCATGGTCATGGTTCATACGGCTTCTACGTGTACAAGTGCTTGGCCCAACTCGCACTATATGTTTGATCTCGGACCATCACGCAGGGCTTCTTAATGCTGCAGCTGAGCATATAGGTGGGTTCCCACCTCTAGTACCACTTTGCCGCTAATTTCTGGCGGCGTCAGCGAAAGCAGGAGGTATGTGACAAGGTAAAGGCTCTATATTGTGTACGTACAGAGCACCAGTTCAAGGAGACAAAGAGAGAACTAGACAAGATGGTAAATATAGCGGGAAATGCCTGGTTAGAGGCGTAGATGGAACAAAAGGCTCAGTGGGCTTTAGCATATGACGAGGGGGGTTTCAGGTATGGCATCATGACCACTAACTCCTCGGAGTCCTTCAACAGTGTATTCACCGGAGTTCGATCGTTGCCTGTGTCTGGAATTGTTGAGTTCTCCTTTCATAAGTGCAACGAATATTTTGTGAAGAGGTGGGAACTTGCGCAGAGGAATATAGCTGAGCAGGGGCGTTTTGGAAAGGCCAGAGCTGAACATTTGAAGGAGGCCGAGGAATTGGCCAAGCAGCACACCGCCGAGCCATATGGACCTCGCCGCCATATCTTTAGTGTACGGGGCAAGGGTGGCACAAGCTTGGGCGGCGAATGTTATGGTGGACGAAACTACCGAATTGATCTTGAAAAGGTAGAGTGAAGTTGCAACGTCCCTCAGATCATGCATGCCCCTTGCTCTCATATGATCACGGTCTGCAGGGTTCACGGGTACAACTATGAGGATCTGCTATATATGTCACCCTTGTATCTCCATTCGAACACCGTTAGTATTTGGGAGATGAGCTTCGAGCCATACCTTGACCCGACACAGTGGCCATCTTATAATGGTTATGACTACGTGCTGCATTCGGATCTAATAAAGGTAGGGAAGGGTAGGAGGAAGAAGAAGCGACTCAAGGGGGACATGGACGCTATGAGAGGGTACGGCGAAGACATGTACGGCGGGGGAGACTTCAACGAAACCTGTGGCAGGAATCTTTGCTCCGTTTGCAAACAATTTGGTCACAAGGCTAGCAGGCATAGAAGACGAGGGCAACAAGTGATTTCATATTATGTTCGTATTGCATAACAAGTAGTTCAAATTTTGCAATGCTACATAATGTTAATCTGAATATTGTTAATTTGAATACTCTAACCCTTTGTTTATCAATTTGTAACAGGATGGCCCCTCTCACGCCGCACCAGCTGTACCCCCTTCTTGAGGTGGAGTACGACGACCCCCTTCTTCCACCGGACGATGAGGTTTCCAAGAGGCGTTCGAGGGATCCTTACATTCCTGGGACTTAGTTCATTACGTCGAACTTATGTCGAACAAATATAGTCCTCGAAAACTTGTAGACTCATAAACCAATGAAAATGTTATGTGGCAACTTGTCGTCCATTTATTTGCTTCATATTCATTTCAAGTTGCGCACGGTCGCGGCAGCACTTGTAGTTTTTTACAGCACCGTCAACAGCTCAATTGAGGTTGGCCATTGTCTATCCGCGTCAGTGCCGCGCCGTGGTCTATGGCGCATCACTGACGCACTGTGGACTATGGCACGACAGAAACTGTATTCGAGATAATTTCACTCGATTACGTTCGTTTTAGAAATTCTCAACAAATGATACAAACAGATGTGATCACTTAAGATCGACCATGGGTAATCCGAGTACATGATATATGGGTACAATACATCAGTAGCTCAAATAGAATATAAGACAACACAATGGAATTTCTACTACATAGCTACATTGATTATTAATAAAGCATGGAACTAACAGACGGCGCAATCAAAAACCCTCAGTCAGAAACATACTGAGTAAGCAACTGGTCGTCTGAGTACCAATCCTCAACCACAACCCTATAGCTATGGCTAGCCTCACCTACATTGCCCTGATCTGCCTTTCGCCTGTAGTAAGCGGCCTCCGCTTCATCTATGACCTCTATGGCCTGAGTGAAGAACACGTCGTCATCCTCCTCTGCCTGTAAGCCCACCTCTGCTAGAGCGATGAGCTCGCTCAGTCTACCAGTGTCATCTTCAGCCTCCTCCGCCTGTAAGCCCGCCTCTGCTAGAGCGATGAGCTCGCTGAGTCTGGTAGTGTCGTCCTTATCCTCGCCCCCCTCATCAGACAACATAATCGATGATTCAACGGTGCGACTAGCTCGCTTTCTGTGCTCATCTAACTTCTTT